TCTTGCATTTCTATGCTCCCTGGAAATTAGACCCACCTGACAGTCTGCTCCATAAACATCTGACAATTTGTCAGCATTCCTCATCTCCCAATACTTCAAGCATTCAAGAGAAAGCACTGTCAGATGCAAGATGTCTTACAATTTTGTTGCTATGAATGTCTCACCGAAACACAATGAAATCACTGTAAGACATTGAAATTCCTCCCTAAACCAGATGCATAAATTATTATCTTGTCATAAAATTGCAATTATAAAGAATCTTGAGAACACATAAATACATTTATGCCCACAAGAAATGCCCAAACTGTGTAAACATACAGAGTGATCTGCTGGATATTGGTGAGCTGGACCAGTACTAGCAGGGAGTGAGGCACTGGGGCAGGTCCCCGGTGCGTCAAAGCTGACAAGGTCTGGATCATGCCATTTTTCTGTGAGTGGAAAAACCTAGACTTAATCATGTGAAGGAACAAAGAGAGGAAGTTAAGCAAGGAGATTTTTGCTCGAATTTAGCATAACTCAGAAGAAAAAGTCACCATCCTTGACAAATAGTTATCATACAAGCTCAGCTCTCTGGTTATTAGAAACGCTCACCACATGAGTTTATGTGGCTACTTACTTCTGAGGAAGATCACTTATCTTCAGTATTTGTTGCTCAGAGACACCTTGGCGTTTTCTGAACTCGGAGAGTATGCCATACTCTCTGGTTGTGAACAGTGATCTCTTTAAAAAAACTGCAATGTCTCATTAATGGAAAGCTTATGCTTTTGGGTTTTTTTTTTTAAGCAAAAAGAAAATCAATGTCATGAAGAGGAGCTGAGAGAGACAGAACACTTATTGCCTGAACTGGTCTAAAAAGCTCATGAATTTCTGCATCATATTCTCCCTAGGGATGTTCTCCCAGGACTCAAGCTGCTGCATACATGCTGGTCTGTTTTACATCTCTTTGGAAATGTTGATATCCCCCTTTTTTATCGTTTTCTGTGCATCTGTCTGCCTTTCTGCAAGGGGTGGCAGAACCATTCATACCTGGGTTTACTGTTCTGCTGACTGGTGCAATTAGGTTAAAGGCATTATGGTGCCCTTGGAAAGGATGCCTGTCTGTTCGTGCTACCCCGAGAGCTGCATTTATCCGTACGATGGAGAGAAAGGGATATGATACTTTTCATAGGAAAACAGACGTATAAAGCATCCAAAGCAGAATTCCCATGAAGAATGAAATGACGTTTTTCTACCAAAATACCTCTCCAGCTTTCAGGCAATCCATTTCTACTAATTTATTGACATTTTTTCATGAAAAGCAGACCCCTTTTTGTAAGAAACAGAATCTAGACAAAAAAATAAACATTCTGTCCAAAACAGTGTTCATGTGGAAAAATTTCATCCAGTTCTATTTACACAGCCACAGATATGTAATAACTATATAAATAGAACTGTTCAAATGTGGGCAATTGCATACTCCCACCCTCTCTTTTTCTTGTCTCATTATCTGTGAACTCCATTTATGAAAAGAAAAATAAAATATGCAAAAGTTCAAGATCAAATATAAAATCATTGCCACATTTCTTAGAGCACTGACAAGCTAGTATTCCAACAGGTGTTTTATATAGGCCCTTTGAACCTTGGCTTACAAATTTCAGAATGTGGTGAATAAACATGTATATATGTTTAAAATCCACAGCATTTTAACATTTACTTAAAAGGGTTCCAAGGATGCTTGGGAGAAGTTTCCAACTGTCTAGCTGATTCAGTAGGCTCTATTGCTTAGACACATGAAGCAAAATACTTAGCAAATGTTTTAGGAATTTGTAACTCAGCACAGTCTGCTTCTATAGCTCAAAAGCCAGGCAGCTTGTCTTTGCTCAAATCTTAACTTCATGCCAATTACGCAATAAAGATACCAATTGTTTTTTTTCACTGGTTAAAAAAATTACTACCTCAAGATAAGCTTAAACAGTCAAGTTAAAGGGTATATGTTGGTCAAAGATTTGGGATGAGATCTTCTGATGAACTCTGAGAGGGACTACATAATAGCCAAACGAGAGGAACTGGAATTAAAGCACATTGAAGGGATGACATCCTTCATTGGCTTGTTAGTGACAATATTACCCAAGACCCCACATGGGCCCACACTCATTGCCACCTCACTGTAACAGCAAGCTTGTGCAGGTGATGGGAGGGCAGGTCAAAGCACTGGTCTTGCTCCGCAGACCAGTGAACCTGAATTTCTCCATGCTACAATGCATTTATAAATTCTGCCAATTGAGGTACATGCAAAAATTGGGCTTAGGTGCACTTCAACAGGCTAGACATGAATGCTTATTTTCTACCTAGCCTGCACAATCTTCCACTGAAAGCTGCAGCAAACATTTAGAATTCTCATGGATTTGCACTAGGAGCATACGAACTCATTACCTGAAATACTCCTATCACTTTTCAGCATTTCATTTTTCCTGCCACGAATTCATAAATTCCCTTATTTTTTCTGTTCAGAAATGGGATTTTAGGTGGAAGGGGACAAAATACAACAAAAAATGATGGGAATTAAGTTTCATTTAAAAAATAATATTTTATACAGACTTTTACAGTACTATGTCATGTAGGGAATGTTTTTATGCATCAGACCAACTAGGTCTGCATGTCTCACACATCCACATAACATTTCAGTGGCACTTTCATTTTGTTTCCTAAATTATCATAAAGAAAAAAAACAAATAATGGAGAAACATTCCACGCAAACTTTGGCAGGTGCAAATGCATTAGACCGAAAAGTTAAGCAGGTAGAAAATATTGAAAATAGAACCATTAAATGACTGTGAGGAACTGGACAGTCCATTCACATCCAGCCTTTCCTAGTTATGCATTTCAGATCTCTTTAGGAAAGCTTAAGTCCAAAGGCTTTGATATAAAATATCTTTGATCCCCAATTACTAATATTGCATAATATTAGAACTTATTGCAATCATGACATTCTCAGATCTGTTTATTTCAAAGTTAGACATTTCAGAACTATTCGCCAGGGGAAAATCAACTAATCTTTCACCAGCTTTTAACTGGTAGACACCCTGCTTAATGCTGGCTAAATCCCTGTATACCGCTCTTTAAAACAGGGTTAATAATAGCGCATTTCTCCCATTCTACTTTTGTCTCACAAGATGGGAAGCTCTTCAGGCAAAGCTGCATTTTATTATAAGTATGAAGAGTTCCTAGAAACAAAATACTTGGAAACCAGGTAGGGTCATTAGGTGCTTTACAAGTAATAAAGATAATAATGGTTAGATAAAAACTGGCTGACCTGAACAAGATACCCCCATCTTCAAATGGTTAGACTAATACAAAGGGCTGTGCATATTAATTAAGCTCTTTGGATAGCAGACCGTCTTGTTCTAAACTGTGACCCTGACTTCAACGGCATTACACCATCTAACCAGGATTACCATGTCAGTAGTTGTGCTAACAGTGTTACTGAATTAGTAACTCCTAATTCATTCCTTGAGAAGACTTCGGAGCTGCTCAGTGGTATAACCCTGATTAGGGTTCCCTTATGCTGCAAGCTCACTTTTGTATCTATCTGTATGCACCGCTCTCACAAGCACATGCATCCCATCCTGCAGCAGGAGCTGTCGCGGCAAAGCTGCCGCCTAAAAGAAGAGCAAACCCATCATTCAAACCAATGAACAGGAGCCTGAGACATGGCCACATAATCAATGCATCCACACCAACAGAGCTGACAAAACCCCTCTAGCTGTACCACAGAGGACATCACGCTTGTTCGCAGCACACAGTGATAAATGTGACACTAGGACTCCTACTTTCCTACTGAAGCTCTTCTTCAGTCTGTTAATTTCTACCATCAGGATGGTGGCTGTAGAAATCTGAGAATGTGCCAGAGAGTATAAATTTGACAATTAGTATACATTTCTTTAAATGTATGGTTTGTAAATTATTTCTATTACACATTCATTATTTATTAACCGAGGGTTGTCGGAGCAAAGCTTCATCACTACCTCCACTGGACCGTCCCTGACAGTAGCACACCCAAATAAAGCAGTAAAAATATATTTCTTATGCTTATGGCAGTGCTGTCTGTCTGCTAAGATCTGGGATGGCATTGACCTTGCCTGGTGCTGAGTTTTGTACAGAGAGTCCTTCAGCAGGCACAAACCAGCACTTCACCTGCAAGGAGCAGACATGCTGCTCCGTCTCTGAGGAAATCTTAAGGAAATAGTAAGGTACCATGAACATGTCTAGTGAGGACAGCAATGCGTTTGCCATCAGAGCTTCATCTGAAAGCAGTGATGAGTATGAATAGCAAGCATAAGGTCCTGGGTAAGCAGGGAAAGTGTCATATTCCAGCTGATAAGAGGCTTGCTTGATAACTTTTTGGATGAAGGAACTGAGCATAGAGAAGACTATACATAAGCAGTTCACTCTCAACTCTAGAGCATCATTTTCTTTCTCATACTCCTTCTACACAAGCCCCTGCTTGTCAATGAGATGAAGAAGGAGCAGCAAGGAGGCACTTGGAAAGTTGGCACAGACAATGGCAGGGGCCAGCTGGCAGCAAGAAGTGAACATGGAGTTCAAGCTCAGCTGTTCATATGCCACAAGTCTAGCTACCAAAACCCTTAAACAGCCACATCTCAGCTGTCTCTATCTTGAAAACAAATCGTAAAGGCCAGGGTCATCTGTACAATGTCCTCTACAGCTTTTCCTACCTATTACTTTAAGAAATCATGCCAAAAGGGTGAGAATAAAGTAAAAAGAATTCTCACCTACCGCAGACGTGTTTCATTTCATGCTCCATTTCAGCTCCAAAAAGTTTTAAAAAATAAATACAGTCAAGAAGTATTAAAACATCATCCCAGAAAGCAAGATGTGGAATAAATTCTTTTGCAAAAATGAGCCCAGTTCCCATCGCTTACTGATGTGGTGTGAGAATGCAACTGATGTATTTATGCTTCATTTTTAACAGACAGATTTACTCCTTTGCTTAATCTCACCTTCAAAGGCACCACTTGCATCAGAATGGCGAAGTTAGTGAGGTGGTTACAAAGACACACTGAGTAGTTGAGGTCCCCACTCTCACGCACACAACCTTCATTAGACCAAACACCAGTTCCATTGCTGCAAAGCACACAAAAACGGAACATCATCTCTATCAAAATGCATCTTACCAGGTTAATTTGACATGCATTGTACTATACAGGAGACAAAAAAATTTGAAAGCCATCTCAGACTGGAGCATCCGCAAACACTGCTAGTGTCTTCTCAATTCCATCATGAAAATAGTTCAAGAAAATATTGACTGGAATAGGGCCCAGACCAGACACCTGCATGAATGTCTCTAGAGACTTCTTCTCAGTTTTATAACCAATGAACAACAACATTTTTTTTTCTTTACATTGTGCAACCTATTTATGGCACTTCAGCTAGACACAAATTTCTATATTCTGAGAACTATAGTATCAGACAAGTCAATAATCTTGAAAATGTCAAAAAAGTCAGCCAGTCATATCTGCTGCCTCTCCCTTAGCCACCATCCCACTCATCCTGTCAAAGTAAGTAATTCAGACTGACTGAGCTTTTTGTCACTTCATCCTCAGGGGTAGCAAGAGCAGCGTGGGCTGCTGTGTGGCCTGGCCCCAGGGCTGCGCAGGAAAGTGATTCTCATGAGTTTCCCTCTTCCTGGAGCCAGGGAGACTCGGAAACCCCTGGGCTATCACAGCCCTGCGGTGGAGTGGGGACATAGAAGCCACAGCCACATATCTGAGCGGCCTCTATGGGCTCAGGCACCTAGGTCACCCACCTAAACTGCCTGCTTCTTAACCATTTATTACTTTTGATATTATTCTGGGTCCTGGAGTTAGACTGAGTGATCTGTATTTTTCTTGGTGTGTATTTTAAAGATAAGTATTACCTCACCCTTCCTTTGTCCTTTGGGGCCTCCTTGAGTTCTCAAAGAGTCTTATCGTGGGTCAGAAACTAACTGCTTATTCTTTAACTGCCATGCACTAGGGAATAAAACCATCTTGACACAAATAAAACTCATTTGGAAGGACAGATTTCGTAGTTCAATTTCTATCCTGAGGCAAACCCTCAAGGGCCCAAGACCCAATGGAAAACAGTATGAGAACAATGCCCCAATCATATTAATTTGCTTCAGTAAAATCTGTTTCTAATTTATTGTAATTTGTGAGTAACCATAACAACAAGTAACTGCCAACAGCTGGGACAGTTCAACATACTTGAAACAAAACTTGAGTAAAACAATTACAGTGCTCTTCCCATATATATGCCGGATATGAGGGATCACAGCATTGCTGGCCACTGCTACATCAATTAGGCTTATACCATTAAGGCTCAAAAACTGTTAATCCCCATGAAACTCCAAATTCACTATTTGTATTCTTTCTCAATTGATTCAGTAAGAGCACCATGTTTGGAAATCAAAAATAGATAAATTCAGAGCTAAAAAACATAGCTACTGCTTTTCCGTAGTTCCTATTTTCTGAGTGAAATTTAAGGTGATATTTATACCCCTTTTAGTCTAATTTTCCTTCAGAGGCATAGTATTTCTCCATTCCTTGCACTGGCCAAAATTCACAGCTCTGAAATACTGATCTCACGTGGTGTTGTGATACAGGCACAGATCCCGTGAAAACAATGGCTTTGCTGGAAGTTTGCCATCTTAAAACATCCAAGCATCTGCCCAAGTGGACATACCCCGAAACCAAGATAAGCACGATTTGTATCAGTCTGCAGTTTTGATTCCAAAATTTTTCAGCCTCTCAATTACCCACCTAACATAGGGTCTATGAATAAGAAGTCTCCTATTCATGATAAGAAGCCACTAAGAGATTGTGTTTTTTGTAAACCAGTGGTTCCATTTCTTTAACTATTTCCATGAATGAAAGAGAACAAGAAGAATATACGTAATATATAGCATCACAAACAAAGTGTAATTTAATGAAACCAATTTCAGAATTTGAAATTACGTAACATACCTATAGTCCAGAAATGCACAGTAAAGATGAACTCTGTTACTCCTATTTAGTGCCTGGCTGTATTGTCTGGGAGTCTGCAAGAAAGAAAATATAAACCCCGAAGGAATGTTTAAAAAAGACTAAATTCTAGTATTCAACTACTTTAAATTCTCATTGGTATAACAACTTTTATAGACTTACTCTAGATTAACACACCATAAATGAAAGCAAATTTTGTCAGTCTTCATGGCTTTAACACAAACTCCAAACATGCAAAGGCTGGTATTCAGTCTTAATTTTACACACTGAGATTAAACTCGTGACACTTTGAGTGAGAAATCTGTGCCCCATTTAAGTAAATGGCAAACCAGGATTATTTATTGTATATAAGCACAAATATATGTGTTAATTTTTGCAGATTTGGTCCATTATTCTTCAGCATGTATTGACTGCATTGGGTTTTCTTCTCACTGGGTAATAAGAATCTCACATTTTAGGATTAATAGCACTGAAACATGTGCATTACAATAACCAACTCACAGAAGTTTTCTTTTCACAATAGTGATTATTTTAAAACATAAAATCAAACTGAAAGAGCAATGCCATAATTCAAGATTTTATTTTAACACACCTTAGCATTATGATGACATAATTTCTATTTTCCATAAACAGATTTAGCCAGTAACTCAGTCTCCATTCAGGAAGCTTTGAGAGCCCATTCTCCCCTCCGTTACACCAGTTTCATGACAAAATAATTCAAATTATATTGGACTGAAGTAATAGCTTGTTATAGACAAAATATGCAAACTAGAGGATTTCCAGGATCTGTTCAACCCTTTCTAATACATAAATCCCCAAAGTCCACATTGTGTCAGACACTACCTTAAGGCACTTTTTTGATTACAAGAATCTTCAACATAAACAGATGACTGGTGAATTATGGGATTATTGCAACACAATTCTGCTGTCAAGCCAAAAGATAACGAAGTATTGCTTTCCTTGTTTTAGAGAAAGAAGGAAAAAAAAAAAACCCCACTACTCATCATGCTGAAACTCAACCAAGTACAAGAAGTCCCTGATGCAATTTTCCATCTCCTCTCCCACAAGTCCAACAATGAGTGTCAAGCACAAGGTAGCACGGTTCCCTCCTTACTAGCGATAATAAAGCATTTCTACCTAACCCAGGACATTCACACATTCATACTGGGTATCCACACACTTCAAGTAGCTATGCTGTAGATAAAACCATTTACTACTTCTTAACTCACATCTCTGATAAGAAAATTCCATTTATGTTATCTGCTTAAGCAACATCCCTGGACAAAATGTCTAGTTCCTCGACTCACCCTGTTTTCCCTAAGCCTTCATCATAGGAACAGCTGAGATTGCAGGTCAGGTACTCACAGAAGCACAGCTTTGTGAAGAGGAAAGACTGCCACTTATCTGCCAAGGGTCTTTATTTTCCCCTTTGACTCCGATGACACCCTTGTAGCCCTTTTCCGTGAGGGGAGCAAAGCAAATGGTAAAACCTCACACTCTCACAAGTGTGTCACACTGGGAAGTGATAATGGGACAAGATTCATGTCCTCCATCACCAGGAAATATCTCGCTGATATAACCTCTAATCTGCTCATGCCATTTGCTTTCCAAGGTGTGGTGAGAGCAGTCCTTCCTCATTTCTGAAGGACCTTGCCCATTACTGACTGCCTTTTGCAAGGCTTCAGGATCAAACTGGTATGTTCCTTGCTAGGTCCATCGATTCTGAACTTCTCGTTCTTTTCAGAAAGTGCTCCAACACAAGCCTCACATTTAACAATGGTCGTGCACACCTTCCAAATCACAAACTACCTATGAAATATGGAGTGTCTTTCCGAAATCGCTTCCTTCCCTTAATCCCATCCCTTGCTGCTCAGAGTATTCTTGAAGAGCAGCAGTTCAGAAACTGCAGAAGACTAATGATCCATAACCCACGTCTGGAAAACTGCCTTCTGCAACTTCTGCAACAAAAAGTTAATTTAAAGTTTTGTTGGCAGTTCATTCTGTTTTACCAGGAGCAAGGACATGTAGCATAATGTTTGCCCATTACGCTGTATAATGTTACATCCATCATGTCTATAGCTTTCCTGAAGTATGCAAATGGAAGAATCCATAGTCGGTTTATGTTACAAATTACTTGACTTGTATGACAGACAAACAGTGGCTAAAAAAAAAAGAAAAAAAAGACAGAGGGAAAAAGATCTGGTGTAAAACCAGCTAAGATCATACAATAACTGTCATTTCTGAATTGTAAGATATTTCTAGATAAATCTTGATTCTTAATACACTAAATGAAAAGGCACCGCAGGCTCAGGTTGGAAGATGACATAGTATTTCAGTTGTGTATGTTTTTACACAATAAATCCCAGATGTATGTTTTACCCTTAGTTAAGTATCTCTGGCAAGAGGCAAATAACTGGTTTTCTCCATCTTAACTCTAAACACAGATGTCACTCACTAGACAAAGAACTATACCACAGGAGGCTATACAGTCTCTGGGCTGTCCAGAATTGTATGCATACCCACACAGAAAAAGAATAGATAAATAATGAATATACAAGAAGGGTCCATACCAATTCGCCTATTTACTTCTCTTAAACAATATGTCCCATGTCTTAACACACACAATATACGTCTCAGAAGGCACTGAAAAGTGCCACTTACGATAACTGCATAAAACACTCATCTTCTCAGACTTCATTGAATTTCTGCAATAAAACCATCATTAGAATAGAAAGCCCCCCAACATATCTGAAACTGGTTACAATGAGGAATAAACCCTCTCTGATCTTCAACAGCTCTACTTCAAAGTACTCTCTAATCTATGAAAAATGAACTGATTGTACCTCAAGAATGCATTTCTTAAGTTAAACTGTGTGTGACAGCTTATACATGACTTGGATCCTGTAGCACTGAGGATATTGATTTAATGACATTGATAACAGAAAGCTTAATATACGAGTAGGCTTTTACTAAGTCACTTGAGTGTTTAGAAAAGCCTGTGAAAGAACAGTTTATGCAGCTTTCAGTAGCATGGAGAGGGGAAGTACCAGCATGCTTAAGTAATCCAGGATCTGTGCATCAGTTCTCCCTAATCTAGGTTCTTTATATCAGTCCTTCTGCATGGAGACGGGTATGTGCAGCTTCTTTAAAAAATAATTACATTAAAAGGGGAAAGCAACCTTTTGTCACTGAGAAACTGTGCAAACTTTATGTCTGTCTGGTGGAGGAGGTTATCTTGAGGAAAGACTGTCTCTGTTTACATCATGGATCTTCAGCACCCCTTACACTAACCACTGACTCAGATTTACAAGCAAACCACAGAAACTCACCATATGTGTTGAGCCCATACAGAGGATATGCATGGATGTGTGATGGCAGATATGGTACTTACACTGCTGGGAAGTAGGGACAAGGCCATGGTTAGTGGGTGAAGAGGCCAAAAAAGGCGGGTAGGGGACTGGAAGGACTGCTGGAAACCTTCAGGAAAACCTAGCTGCAGGAAATGTCATGAACACAATTGCAGAAAAAAAACAGTCAGCCAGCTGCTGCTGGGAAGGCTTGCCAAGGAAGAGACGCCAAGCAGAGGGTGGGGTGAACCTTTATGAGATTAGCTTGTTTCTCCTCCCTGAATTTAAAAAGCAAATATTTAGCTACATAGTGGTGGCCACCAAGGGAGGAGGGTGTGCACCTTCTAATTCAATATGGTTTTTCTCCAGCCTGAAGAAGGACAAATGTGTGGATCAGATCTGCCGTTGATTTAAACTCAGCCTCAAGCCCAATGTGTTGGGTTTTGGACTTCCTCTCATCCAAAGCAGGTGATAATTTACCCTATTAAGTTCAATTTGGAGTTCACTTGTCTCTGTTTACTAAAGACAGCATTCTGTCCAATTCACAGGTTTTGAAGCCTTATCTTCTCAACCTCCAAAAATACCACAGATTATTTTGAAGGTGGCAAGAAAAGGCACTAAGACAAACAAGCCTCTTGTCAGCATGCTTGAGTCTTTTATGGAGTTCACAGCCCCACTGCAATATTCTTATAGGTGTATGAATCAAAGGTACTTTTGATTCTGGTTTATGGATTAAATTAGAGACTAAAATGATGCTTCTAATATAAGGATTTCCTGTCCTCACAGTGACAACCTGACCATTAGCATGACCTATCCAGGACCACAGAGTTTACTAACTTTCCTTTCCACCTTATATAATCTACTTCTAATTACCTTCTAATTAATATCTTCTAATTACCTAGAAAATAAAAACTTTAAGGTTCATTCATCTACTCAGTTCTCTGGAAAAAGACAGACAGAAAGAAAGGAAAAGAAAGAGAAAGAAAGAATAATCACCTGTTTCTGTAATGGCTATATTGGCTGTTATCTTCCAAGCTGTGAGAAACAGACATTGCAACAGACTTTGGGCTTAGATCACCCAACTATTTTAATTTAGAGTCTGTTTGACTGATTCACCCTAAGATGTAACTAGTATATGTAATGAAAAAAATGTTACAAATTGTACAAAAATGAATTTAGCTTATCAATAGGGAATTATAAAGTGTTATGCATAAAAGCCAGACCTTTAGTTGTTCCATTGTTGTCAACAGAGCTATGCCAACAGCAATGAGCAATATTGTAGGCTCCCAGGGTCAACATGAAAGCTCGCTGAATGAATTTCTTAATGGTACAATCATACGGTAAAAAAAAAAAAAAATCCCATGATATCGCAAAGTGTGGAAGACGGTGGCAGACAACAATATAAATGAAAAAAAAGTGAAATATCAGAGGCTATAAAGGCACCTGAAAGTAGAAAAGAGTGCCATATTTAATTGAATATGGATTGGCTTGATCTTTCCTTTGCCTAGGGTTAAAAATAGTTGACATATTAATTTTCTGCAAAAATATTGTTCATCAAATGCTACACCAATAGTTTTCCCCAGTTCTCAGAGTTCTCCATTTAACAGCTGCTGTATTGGGCAAGCAGTGTGAGAACAAAAAAAATAATGAAAAAGACCATGACCAACAGATTGAAAAATATCTTGGCTGCTCTACTAGATAGCATTTTC